ATTTATAAAATAATTTCTGCATGAGAAAAATATTCTGCATTGGAAATGAGAATGCCTGCCTCAAACGAGTCCCAAAGTCAAACTGAAAAGCGAGGAACCACTGCTCAGGGCAGTTCAGTCCCATTTTCTGAATGGCAGCAGCAAGGGAAATATCATCCCACAATTGCCAGGTGCAGCATGGAACACAAGCGAGGAAAGAGATCTTTTCAATGTTCTCAGAATAATCAGAAGGAGGGGGAGTCTTGGTCAACCATGTCAGGCAAGTGGGAGAGAAAAAGGGAATTGGAGAGGAAGGGGGGCATGTTCAATCACTAGTTGGATCGTCCAAACTAATGAATTCCCTAGAGGGAATCCACTGTATTTCCATGCTTTAATAGAACAGCTCCTACTGAATGCCTGAGTTCTTGCAAGATCGTATTTGGATAGAGAAGTTACAAGTCCAAAAAGGAAGTTATAACAAACCAAATTGACCTTCCACTAAGCTAAAATGTTCATGTTTCTGTCAGTGAGGGGTAAAAAAGAATCCATCTGATGTTATAAGTAAATTTTCAACCAACTAAGAAATGTGTGTGCAAAATGCAAAGGTCTGACAGTTGTGGCTCTGGCATTCCCTCAACGATGACGTACTTATGAAATGAACAGCCATAGCATTCGGTCTGATGTGATTTAAACTTTTAATTGTGTTTTAAGTGAACGTTTACATAGTAAATTAGTTTTCCAATAGATAGTTCATACACAAATTGTTCCTGACCTTGGTGGCCTCAATCTCTATGGTGTGTGGACACTCCAATTTCCCCCTGGTTTCTGCTGCTTTCCCTCTGGTTCCCCATTCCTCCCTGTCTCCTCACCGTTGCTTTGGAACAAATGTCCCCCTTTTCGTCTTTTGGTCTTCTGCAGTTGACAGTGCTAAGAAAAGCATTCCTCATAGGCATTAGCCTTTGTCCTATATTCTCTCCAGTGTTCGGCCAGGTGGCCCTCAGGAGTATCTTCAGTTTCAAGTTAGAAGGCTGCCTCAAGACTATAGACTTGGGGGGAGATGTGGGGGGGTGGGGTGTCTAAGTCTCTTTCACACCAGTTAGTATGGTCTCAGTCCCTCTCTCTCCCTCATTTGAATTTTGCTCTGCATTTTTTTCACCCATTCTAACGTTCTCTGGTGGTCATGATCAGCAAGTTGGTAGTGGTGGCAAGGCGTCATCCAGTTCTAATCTCAGTTTAAAAGAGACTATGGTTCGTGTGAGTCATTATTCCTCGGGAGTCATTACTTCCTTGAAGCTTGGTTTTCCACCATTCTCATTTGCTCCAGGAAGGAAGAGACCAATATTTATAGCTAGATGACCAATCACAAGCTTTGAAGAGCTGAGATTTTACTCATCAGGCTAGGCTGTAGAACATTATAGATCTAGTTATTATATTATTATATTATATTAGAACATTATATATCTAGTTATTATATTATGTGTACTGTTATTACTGCTATTGTATAATCGCGTGCCTTGTACATTTACTGCGTTGCCCCTTGTGTGTACCTCTCAGTGGCTCTCTCAGTCACGTTGTATTCACCTCCCTCACGTGGTAACATGTCTTGTCCTACACCAGCATTCGCTCTCTGCCTATTAAATGGCTGGAGATCCTCCCTTTCCTCCCTGGTGAACAAAGTTCCTTTCTGGGTATAAAAGTATCCACTTGGTATAATCTCCTCTATGTTAATCCACATTGTGATATGTTTCACAGGTTCAACATTATTCTTTATCAACGTTCCGCATTCCATTATATGTACCTACCACAGTTCACTCATCCATTCATCCATCAATGGCAATTTACGTCATTTCTATTTTTTGGTATTATGAATTATGGGCATGGGTGTGCCCATGTCTATTTGTGTCTCAGCTCTTATTACTGATGGCACAGTAAGTGATGCATGGGGCTGCCTACTACAAGACCAGCAGTTCAAAACCGACACGTGCTCCAAGGGAAGCAGATGAGGTTTCTATTCCCACAAAAAGCTACGGTCTGGGCAACCCACTTGGCACTGAGTTTTTGAGTGAAGCGTGGGTGTTGTTAGATTGGATGTGGGGTAGTTACACAATTTCCTGTCCACTTGAAAATTAAGAATGAAGGGGTAGAGTCTAGCCTGCCAAACAGGTCACAGCCTGATGCCTCCTTATGGGGGCTGCCTTTGATAGCCCTCTTCCTCACTGGAGGCCAGACCCACTCTCTCTCTGCTTCCCTTTCCTGCTGTTGAGGACAAGGAGAGCTTGAGGAGCCATGTGGAAACCCGTGCCAGCGCTAGAGGCTGCCACAGCCACTGGATTCACAAGACTTTTCACCCACCTGCCGGTGACCTTCCTGCGCTTTAGGCATCAATGCATGTGCTGCATGTGTCTGAAGAGGAATTCATGGGCTAATATTGGACTTATGGGCTAATATCGAACGTTTGGACCTGATCTGGGCTGGGACAATTTCTTAATATACAATGACTCTTTGATATAAAGCTCTATCATTATATACACACACACACACACACACACACATATACATATATATATATAGATATACATATATATATATACATGTATATATGTGTGTGTATCTATATATATATATATATGGATGGTATTTTGATTTCTGTTATTTTTAAGTGAAGGGCATATCATTTCTTAGTTAACCACAGTGTTTTAGACCTTTCAGGAAATTCAGAGCTGGTTAGCAATGGTGTTGGGACTGTGTTCCTCGGACAGTAAGAGTACCTGCGTGTTACCTCGAAGGACCCCAAACGAACTCTCCTTCTGACCAGGCAGCTCCAGTTTCATCTGTTTATGTTTGGTGAGCTGCCCATGCCGACCCTCTGTGCTCTTTGTCTCTTACAATCATGCAAATAATTCATGTCCCAGACAGTCACGGTGATATTTAACGTATTTTGCATGGAGTGATGCAAAATGAAACCATGACCTAATTATTTCAGAGCTATTTTTGATAGAACCAACAAAAATAGTGGTTGACATTTTTATAGATTGATTTTTATCACCACAAAATGTGTTAGAGTAAGGTGACCAGACGTCCCACTTTGGGCAGGACAGTCCCGATTTTTAACAGTTTTTCCCACGTCCTGCGGCATTTTTAAAAAGTCCCGATTTTTGGAAAGAATGCACGACAAGCTAGGGTATACGGTTTTCAGCTGCCCTGTGGCTATTTCGCCAGGTTATAAGTTTTATCAATGTTAAAATCTGGTCACCTTATGTTAGAGTCATAAGCCATAGACCTATGAGATATAAGCCTAT